CATAGCCAGAAATATGGAACCGACATGCGCAGTAAGGTTCGCTTTCCGAGCAAAATATGGCGTCAGCAAGCATAAAAGAAATGTATGGAGTAAAAATAAAAAGCCCCGAAAGCTTGGAAATAAATAWATGTAACTCACCGTCCTCACTCWTCTTTAAATGTTAGTGTAGAAACCTTCAATGAAGCACCAATTTTAGACCGAATTAATTTGTTAATCGTGCGGTTTTAGGAATTTTGAGAAGACGAATTTTGTATCGAAGACTCCATACTGTTCTTCTAAATATAAGAGAGTGTGAGTTCTTTCTCTTGTAATCTYGTATTTCCCACAATTCGAATTCATCGGTCCTCACTCTTGTCTTGTAGCACTGGCATAGACGATCCAAAAGAGCATAAACAATACGAAATATCTGTTAAATCCAACACGGTTTTTCACTTTGAAAAAGGCTATTTTGCACCTTTGCTCTTCCCTTGCCATACCTTAGGAATTTGAGGCGAAACCAAGAAAGGATAAAGAGAAATGAAGTCTCAAAGTTTTTATACTTTCAAGGAACATTCCGTCCGCCATGTTTAAACGAGACCATGAGTCTTTTCGGCCCCAGATGGCCATTGTTCCTGGGAAGGAGTTGATTTGGCGGAATTTTTTCGCGGGATTTTTYAAAACATCTGAAGAAGGCATATATCACAACAAACCAGACAATGAGTTTTCCCAATGAATTTCAAGACAAAAGATACCTAGAAATCAGTGAATCCCCAAACTCTCAGTTAAACTATGTGAAAAAACAAAGAAATCATCATTCAGAAGAAGTGTTTTGCTGGTAAAAAGCTAAAAATCTCTTATTCATCAAACTAAGCAATGTTTCTGACCACCTGACAAGAATAAAAATAATCAACAGCCTTATTCCTGGAAACACTTTCAAACTTCATGAAAAACTTCCAAGTAGAATAAGTAAATTGATTGCAAGAAAATGCTACAATGTAATGCAAGAGGTCAAAACTCTTAACCGAAAAGGCACAAAGAAGGAAAGAGAGAAGTTTCAAGATGACTGTACTATGTTTTCCATACAGTTTGGRGACATTATAAGGGCAAGTGAATGGGAAGAAGAAATCACCACTCTCTCAAGGGAAATTGAAAACTGGAAACTGAAATACAAGAACCTTGAAAATGAAAAGAAAAAATTGTTGAATCACCTACCTGAAAAACTGGACTCCGATGTAATCCAGGGAGAGACAGTAGAAGAAGTCAAAAAGTTGTGGATGGTATGTATGCTAGACTTGGTTTTTTGTATCCTTTATACATACAGGTGTATGCATGTGTTTTAAGAATTAATCAAGTGAGGTAACTGGGTCAACAGCAATGCTTTTTGTCTCATGTGTATTTCATTTGCATGTATCTATTAAAAACAGCCATTACTTCACCAATTAATATTGTGGTATTATAAGGGATGTTATATTTCAATTACATAACTTCTTGGACCCCACCATCGGCTACTGAATATATGAGCAAGGTATTCTATAAAACCATATCATATATCATTTATATAAAATGTAAATCAATACTAATAGTTAAACTTTGTCATTTTTGAAGATACAAAATTGGATAAATGACTTCACTGCCCTTGGTACTAAGAGAAAAGGCTATCACTTTGAAAATGTTACCTGCTACATGCCCGCAGCTGCCTATCATTTAGGAAACATGATGTCCAAGTACAAAAACATCAAGCAGTTTAGTTGCCAAGGTAGTTTTAAAGCAAGTTATGTAATACAACTTTGAAAAGAAACACTTATCTAGGAAATTATATTTATTTCTTGTTTATATGTAGGCGTAGAAAATAACAACCACACAGCAAGACCGTTGTCATCAGAAAGTGCCAACAGCATGATCCACCAGCTGAAGTATTAAAGGCACAGTATCGCATTAAGAAACTCCAACATAGACAGCGTCTACCTAACAAGTACACTAAACTAAAGCTAACATATTGGATGGAGGAGATCCATGACCAACCCCAAASGAAGAAGAAAAGGGCTAAATTCTATACCCCTTTTGACTCGCAACCAAATCATGATCCTGTGCAAAAGTGTAATGGTAAAACCAAGCAAAAGCCAAAAGTAGTTAAGAACAAAAAAGCACCCAAGAAAAAGAAGAGATGATGTTTCTAGGATTTTTCATCACAGGA